AGGATAGGGCCGGTCAAGGATTGTAAGGGGAATTTGTGCACGGAGCCTAAAGAGAAAGGAGAGGTTCTTAATGAATACTTTTCTTCAGTATTCACAACTGAGAGGGACCTCGTTGTAGAGGAGGATGTTGTGAAACAGGCAGGTAGGCTAGAGGAAGTTGATGTTTGTAAAGAAGATGTGCTAGGCATTCTGAGGAAGTTGAAGATAGATAAGTCCCCCGGGCCTGATGGGATTTATCCAAGGATTCTATGGGAATCAAGGGGCGAGATCGCAGGGCCTTTGGTGATGATCTTTTCGTCCTCGCTGTCCACAGGTATAGTGCCAGAAGATTGGAAAGAGGCAAACGTCATTCCTTTGTTCAAAAAAGGGAACAGGGATAACCCCGGAAATTACAGGCCAGTTAGTCTTACGTCAGTGGTGGGCAAATTATTGGAGAGGGCTCTGAGAGACAGGATTTATGATCACTTGGAAAGGCACAGTTTGATTTGTGATAGTCAGCATGGATTTGTGAGGGGTAGATCATGCCTCACAAACCTTACTGAATTCTTTGAAGAGGTGACCAAAGACGTGGATGAAGGTGGAGCAGTGGATTTAAATAAGGCGTTTGATAAGGTTCCCTATGGCAGGCTCGTGAAGAAGGTAAGGAGGCATGGGATAGGGGGAAATGTGGCAGATTGGATTCAGAATTGGCTGATCCTTAGAAGACCAAGGGTGGTAGTGGACGGAAAATATTCAACATGGTGCTAAGTTACGAGTGGTGTACAACAAGGATCTGTTCTGGGTCCTCTTCTATTTTGTGATTTTTGTAAATGATTTGGATGAAGGAGTGGAAGGGTGAATTAGCAAGTTCATGGACGATGCGAAGGTGGGTCATGTTGTGGACAGTGTGGAGGGCTGTTCTGGGTTACAAAGGGACATTGATAGAATGCAGAGCTGAGCTGAGAAGTGGCAGATGGAGTTTAACCCTGAAAAGTGTGAGGTGATTCATTTTGGAAGGACAAACTTGAAAGCAGAATACAGGGTTAACGGAAAGATTCTTGGCAGTGTGGAGGAGCAGAGGGATCTTGGGGTTCATGTTCACAGTTCCCTGAAAGCTGCCACCCAGGTGGATAGAGTTGTTAAGAAGGCGTATGGTGTGTTAGCTTTCATAAATAGAGGGATTGAGTTCAAGAGCCATAAAGTTATGCTCCAGCTATACAAAAGCCTGGTTCGGCCACATCTGGAGTATTGTGTCCAGTTCTGGTCACCTCATTATAGGAAAGATGTGGAAGCATTGGAAAAGGTGCAGAGGAGATTTACCAGGATGTTGCCTGGAATGGAGGGAAGGTCTTACGAGGAAAAGTTGAGAGAGCTAGGGCTTTTCTCTTTAGAACAACGAAGGATGAGAGGTGACTTGATAAGAGGTGTACAAAATGATCAGAGGTATAGATAGAGTAGACATCCGGAGACTTTTTCCGAGGGTGGAGGTAGCTTTTACGAGGGGACATAGTTTTAAAGTGAGTGGAGGTAGATATTGGGGAGACGTCGGAGGTAGATATTGGGGAGACGTCAGAGGTAGGTTCTTTACTCAGAGAGTGGTAGGGGCGTGGAATGCATTGCCGAAGAGGGTAGTGGAGTCAGCCTCATTAGGGTCATTTAAGCAGCTATTAGATAGGCATATGGATGATAGTATAAGGTAGCGGTGGAGGTTAGATAGACCTTAGGTTTCATGTAAAATTTCGGCACAACATGGTGGGCCAAAGGACCTGTACTGTGCTGTACTGTTCTGTGTTCTATGTTCTATGTTCTATTAAAATGTGTGCAGTCAGAGTAGTAAGTTTGCAGATGACATGAAGATTGGTGGAGTTGCTGGTGGTGCCAACAATTGTGAAAGGATACTACAGGATATAGATAGATTGGTGACTTGGACACGAAAATGGTAGATGGAGTTTAATCCAGACAAAGGCGAGGTGATGCACTTTGGAGGACCCAATTTAGATGTGAATTATACTGTAAATTAGCAACATTAACATACAGATGGATCTGGGCGTGCATGTCCACAGTTCTCTAAAAGTGGTGGCAACACAGGTGGTCAAGGTATTTAAGAAGGCATATGGCATGCTTGCCTTCATTGGCCAGGGTATGGAGTACGAGAGTTGGCAAACCATGTTGCAGTTTTATAAAACCCTTGTTCTGTTGCATTTGGAGTATTGTGTACAGTTTTGGTCGCCACATTACCAGAAGGATGTGGAAGCTTTGGAGACCATGCAGAGAAGGTACACCATGATGTTGCCTGGACTCGAGGACATTGCCTATGAGGAAATGTTAAAAAGACTAGGGTTGTTTTCAGTGGAAAGATGGTGTCTGAGAGGAGACCTAATAGAGGCCTACAAAATTATGAGAGGTATAGATAGCGTGGATAGTCAGAGGCTTTTTCCCAAGGTTTCAGTTACAAGGGGGCACAGGTTCAAAGTGAGAGGGCAAAAGTTTAAGGGAGATGTGTAAGGGAAGTTTTTCACGCAAATGGTGGTAGGAGCCTGGAATGCACTGCCAGAAGAGGTGGTGGAAGCAGACACAATGGCGACATTTAAGAGGTGACTGGATGGTTACGTGAATAGGGAGGGAATAGAGGGATATGGTCTGAATAAGGGCAGAAAGTTTGCTTTTTAGATTAGTTAGGATATGATGATCAGCACATGCTTGGAGGGCCGAAGAGCCTGTTCCTGTGCTGTACTTCTATTTTGTTCATTTGTTCTAAGATGTCATAGATATAGAGTGAGAGGAGATAAGTCCACAGCTGAGACGAGGAGGAACTGCTTCTCTCAGAGGGTTGTGAATCTGTGGAACCCACTGCCCCAGAGTGCAGTGAAGGCAGAATCAATCAACAGATTCAAGAAAGAAATGGATATGTTCCAAATGAAAAGCGGGATAACAGGCGATGGGGAGCAGGCAAGAGAGTGGAGTTGGGACCAGGATAAGATTGACCATGATCACGTTAAATGACAGAGCGGGCTCAAAGGGCTGGATTGCCTATTCCCCTTCCTAATTCCTATTTTCCTATCTATGGTGCAGGCTGATCAATTGAAACTTTCAAAAGAAAGTTAGATCATTATCTAAAAATGGAAAAATGTGGCTGGTTATGGGGGAAAGGTAGGAAAGTAGCATTAGGTGGATTGCACCTTCCAAGGGCCAATGCATTTGTGATGGACTTAATCACCTTATAAGTTAATAAGAAATAGGGGAAGAACTAGGCCATTCAGCCCACCGAGTCTGATGCATCATTCATTCGTATCTGATATGCTCCTCACCCTCATTTTCCTGCCTTCTGCCCACAACCTTTCAACCCACTACCAATTAAAAATCTGGCTAACTCCTCCTTAAATTTACTCACTGTCCCAGCATCCACCGCACTTTGGGATAGCGAATTCCACAGATTCACAACCCTTTGGGAGAAGTAGTTTCTCCTAAATTCTGTTATGGATTTACTACCCCATATCGTAAGACTATGACCTCTAGTCCTGGAATGCCCTACAAGAGGGATCATCTGCTCCACGTCTATTTTATCTATACCTTTTATCATCTTGAATACCTCAACTTGATCTCCCCTCATTCTTCTAAATTCCGGAGATTATAGGCCTAAATTGTTCAATCTCTCTTCATACGACAAGCCTCTCATCTCCGGAATCAATCTAGTGAACTTTCTCTGAACTGCCTCCAATGCCACTACATCCTTCCTCAAAAAGGGGACCAAAACTGTGCATAATACTCCAGATGCGGTCTCACCAATGCCTTATATAGTTGCAACAATACTTCCTTGCCTTTATTAAAAACTGAAAGAACTGTGGATGCTGTAAATCAGGAACAAAAACAGCTGGAAAAGCTCAGCAGGTCTGGCAACATCTGTGAAGAAATTATCAGTTAACGTTTCTGGTCTAGCGATCCTTCCTCAGAACTTCTCTTTTTGTTCCTTACCTTTTATATTCTAATCCTTTAGTTATAAAAGCCAACATTCCATTAGTATTGTTTAGTATCTACCGTACCTACATGCTAATTTTCTGTAACTCATGGACGAGGACATCCAGATCCCTCTGCACCACAGTACCCCTAAGTCTCTCCCTATTTAGACAGTAGGTCGCCTTCCCACTTTTCTGACCAACATGCATGATCTCACACTTATCCAAGTTAAACTCCATCTGCCACATTTTGGCCCGCTCTCCTAACCTATCCACATCCATTTGTAAGGTTCTTATTTCCTCATTGCAATTTACCGTCCTGCCTATTTTTCATGTGGAACATATCCATTCCTTTCTCTATCCCTGTATCCATGTCATTAATGTAGATTGTAAATAACTTGGGTCCAAGGACCAAACCCTGTGGCTTCCCACTCTTTTACTTCTTGCCATCCAGAAAAAAAAATTTATCCTAACTCTCTGTCTTCTGTCCATCAGTCAGTCACCTATCCAAGCTAAAAAATTACCCCAATCCCATATGATCCAAACTTGTGAATTAACCTTTTGTGCGGCACCTTATCAAATGCCTTTCGCAAGTCCAGATATTTTACATCTACAGGATCCCCATTATCTACTTTGTGTGTTACAGCTTTGAAGAACTCTAGCAAATTAGTCAAACAAGATTTGCCCTTCATAAAACTATGCTGACTATGATAGATAGCATTTTGACTTTCCAAATGTCCTGATATTTGCTGTGACTTTTATTATTGGATGAATCTGTGACTTTTAAATTTCTTTAGCACTGATGAAAATTCGCTTATTTGAAGCATTATCTCTTGTTTCATTCTATAGATGCTGCCTGTCTGACCTACTGAATATTTCAACTTTCATCTGAGTTTGAGTTAGCCATTCCTTTTATCTTGCTCAGTTCCTACTCCTAATAACATGATTAGAAAATTAAGAAATTCATAAAACACGTACAGGATGATAGATGTTGATTTTTTTGGCCATTTAAAGGTATTTCTGATACTGTTGTTTTAGTTATTATTATTGCGATTGCTTTTCCTACAGAGTGCTGTTGTCTTGTGCTGGGATGTGGGCTGTACAACAAACAATATGTCTCTGGAGGAGGACAGTGCCTTTGAACAAGCAAAGAAAGTTTTGCTGATGTTTGTTCAACGTCAGGTAACTGATATTTTTTATGCCAATGATACACTCATTCATGCGCAATTTTCCTAACTGTCCAGAAAACAATAACTTATAGGATGTTAGTTTGAAATCATAAGCTTTTAGAGCGTAGCCCCTTTGTCAGCTGAAGTGAGAGAAGAGCACACAAGTTATGGTTCATGTCACGCTGCATGTGACCACACCACACTTTTGTTTCTGTAAAATCTTCCTTACTGTCCTGTTTTGACACCATCGCCTTGATAACTTGTTATGATCTCTCTACCTTAATTAATTTATACACCTTTGGATTACTTGTAACTTTGGTTAGACCTTTGGCATGCAACTTTTATACCTATCACGTTATTCCAGTCATTTGGTTTGTCTCCAGCACCACCTTATTTTTAATTTTTTGTAATTATCTCTCTGCCTCATTTAATCGGATTATAGGTCATCCCTTCCCTTGTTATTCAGCTGTTGACACCTCACTCACACCGTCTAACACTTTTGACCACCTGCAGAAACTTATTGACACTCCACTCACATCATTTGTATAATCTTTTGATCTCTCTGCCTACAAATTTTTTTGTCTGTGTGCTTCTCACTTCACCTGATGAAGGGGCTACACTCCAAAAGCTTGTGATTTCAAACAAACCTGTTGGACTATAACCTGGTGTCATATGTGTTGTCTGGTTCCGCTTTAAACAAGTTGCAGACAATTCCGACCATAATATTATGAATGAATTTGCCCAGGTATCCCTCAGTACCGAAGCGGTCAAATCAATACAAACACAAGCCGGTACCAAAGCAAAACATTCCCATTTTATTAGGAACAAAACGACAACAATTTTTAATACTAAGCATTCTATCCCTAATCCTATTTGGCTGCTTATGGTTACAATACTTCCCGAGTCTCTTGTAAATTTACACAGTCACGCTCTCTGTGGCTCTGCCTCTGGGTCTGCGAAGCTGCTTTCTCCCCTCTTGCTCTCTCTCTGGATGGTCCACTGGTCATTGCCTCTTGCCATGCTGCTGTCCTCAGAAGGCCTCAGATGGTTCCAAGAGTAGTTCCAAAAGAGGTTCTAATAGAGCAGTCTGCAGGTGAATTCTGTTTTTATACCTTTCAGATGCTTTTCTGGAACTTTCTGTCATTCTGACCAATCAGGGAGGTACACTTAATAATTTGAAACAAGAGTCAATCATTTTGTTGTTATGTTACTTTCAAGTTTCTTTGTGTAGCATGACCCAGGGCCTTCCTGTCTCGGCTGCCCTTTGTTTAGTGGATAAGTTGTTGGGGATGTCCGTGCAGACTAACTGCTGCCTTTCACATTGTGCTAATGTAAAAGGCTGCTGTGTTTGCACTGTGTCTGGTGTGTGGGTTTTGTGATTTCAGAGTTTCACTTGGCCAATGTACTCAGCATCCCTTGCTGTTCGGCCGAGTTGGCAATGGGTGTGTTAGCAGCCCGGAGGCTGCTACGTGTGACTTCTGACATTGACCAGCTCTTCCACATCATGGAATTACATATTTATAGTAATGGATGGTGAAAAGCTGGAAGATATGAATACTTAGAGTCATAGAAATGTACAGCACAGAAACAGACCCTTTGGTCCAACTTGTAGTCCAAATTGCAGAGAAGTAGAGGAGCGGATTGGAAGGCAGATACTGGAAAGGTGCAGAAGTCACAGGGTTGTAGTCATGGGTGACTTCAACTTTCCAAATATTGATTGGAAACATTTTAGTTGGAATAGTTTAGATGGAGCAGATTTTGTCCAGTGCGTTCAGGAAGGATCCCTGACACAGTATGTAGATAGACCAACATGAGGAGAGGCCACTTTGGATTTGGTGCTTAGCAACGAACCGGGCCAAGTGTTAGACCTGTTGGTAGGAGAGCATTTTGGCGGTAGCAATCATAACTCTGTTTCTTTCAGGATAGTCATGGATAAGGATAGGTACACGGCAGGGTAAAGTTTACAATTGGGGGAAGGGTAATTACAATTAAATTAGGCAAGAACTGGGTAACATAAATTGGGAACAGATGCTGTCAAGGAAGAGCTCCACAGAAATGTGGAGATTGTTTAAGGAATGCATACTGCATGTGCTCGATATTTTTGTCTCTAGCAGGCAGAGAAGATGCGGTTGAGTGAGGGAGCCATGGTTCTCGAGAGAGGTCGAACGTTTGGTTAAGAGGAAGAACATAGAACATAGAACATTACAGCGCAGTACAGGCCCTTCGGCC